GCTCGGTGTCTGACTCTTGGGGCGCCCTGCCAAGTTCCTGCCTGCCTTGGACCCACATGACTGCACCCATGGGCCTGTGATCGCCCTGCTTCTCCGAGGTCTCTCCTGCAAGTTCTAATCTAAACGACCCCCAAGGTGTCCTGGCCAGCAGGGGCGTCAGCTGCTACTCTGGGAGAATGTTTTAGGGCTGTTCTCTGCCTTTCCTTCCTCTTCCTCCCTGGTGAGGAACTGTCTGGGTGGGGGTGAGGAGGTGCCGGGAGACCACTGCCTGTGCTACAGATGCGTGGCCCCTAGCTGGGTGGGGACCACCTTTCTGGGGCGTCCTCCCTCAGGGCATGGCATTCTCCCTTCTGGGGCTTACCCTGCAGCAGGGCTCCCAGGTTCCCTCCTTCCAACCGGCTTGTTCTCCCTGGACAAGGGCTGGGCTGCAGCTGGATCAGTCTTCCCCTCCTGAGCGCCAACCCAAACCGCCTCAAGCCAGCTCAAGCTGGCCACTCAACGGTTTGCCTTCTGCACGGCATCATAATCCAAGAAGCTGGTTCCCGGGTGCCCATCAGCCTGAGGCCTCTCAGGGCTGCCCGCTCAGCGTCCAGCCCCGCCCCCCACCGCCATTGTACTATAAGTGGTTCTCCTTCCTGCCAGCCTCTCACATCTCCAAGGCCACCCTACGGAGGCCTCATTACAATGAGTTGCTTCCGTCAAAATGTCCTGTTCTTCCCCAAGGGAACCCCCCTTGGTGACTCCCCATTGTCCCTGTGGTGATGCAACAGATGGTCATAGGTCTTGGGCCCGCCCTCCCACCCACCCCCAGTGGGCATCTGCAGCACCCCAGCCCCTTTGTGGAGTGAGATGGTCAGACATCAGTTCTCCGCAGCCGGGCAGCAGGACCTGAGCCCCGGTTTCAGAGGGCTGCAGGATTCAGCCAGGGAGAGGCTGCCCAGGCCGCCATGGCCCAGTGAGGGATGGCCCTCATGCAGTCCAGGCGGCACTGTTCCTCTGTCAGCTCTTGGTCCTTCCAGCCAACTCCCTTTCCTGCTCAAACCAAGGTGCCCGGTGGCACACGCGCCAGTGCTAACCCCAAAGCTGGCAGTTTAAATCTGTGCAGTGGTACCAAGGAAGAAAAGGCCTGGTGGCCTGCTGCCATTGACCTCCTAGTCAGGAAGGGGGCAGTTGTAGCCTGTCACCCCGGGCGGGCGGGGAGGCCAGATGCTTGCAGGCATCCTCCCTGACAGGCGCTCAGTTGCCAGACTGCACTGGGCCCCGCTCCCTGGCATCAAGGACAATGGACTGGCCTGAAATCAAGGATTTGGTTGCTGTAGGCGGGGTTCACACCTACTGATAATGGTTCCTATGGAGACCCAGAGGCCAGGTCAAAGTTAAGCTGCCATCCTGTATCTAGGATCTGCCCATCTTGTCACATGTGTCCCTAGACCACCCCCTCACTGCTGTATAACCCATCGTGCAACCCCTTCCTGGGACGTATGTCTTTACCTGTAATTAGTGGGCTTGCATGTCCCCCAAAGGTATATAGGCCTGGGTTAGCAATGGAGAGCTCTCGCTCCCTCTCTCTCGGCTCCTCCCTCAACCTCTCCTCTGCTCTCTCTCCTTCCCTTCCCCCTCTCTCCACGTGGACCACCAAGTGGGGCAGAGGTGAGCATTGCTACCATGAAATGTGTCTGACTCCATTATTTTAATATCTCTTTTATCTCTCATGCTCTCGATGACTTTAATATAATATTTATAGATCTCAACCGTACAATTGTGCTTACTGAGCCCATGATTAGTGGTGGGGGGCTGGCCACCCCCACATTCAAACCACAGTTACCGCCCTGGATCAGGACAGGCGCCCCCGCCATTACCGTCAGCTGCTGAAATCAGCCAGTGTTTTGCCGTTCTAGAGGAGGGGCTGGGGACGTTTGAGATGGAAGGGCCAGTCCAGTTCCTCGGAGCAGTTTAGAAATTATTTTGAGGGCCATACCTCTGTCTTCACAAGCCAATGAGGTCACCATGGTCTGAATAACAGCCTTTAGAATGTTTGCATTTGCCTTCAGAGCTACACGTGCATACCGTGACTCCCTCGGCAGGGCCCCCATGGACTGCAGCCCAAGCCTGGGAGCAGCCCCTCCGGCCTGCTGGCCCACCGAGCCAGCACCACCGGCCTCAGGCTGCAGCCACGCCCACACCTGCCAGGCCTCCCGGAGTCCACTCTCTGCCTCCAGTGCTCGCCTTGCCCGGTGAGTCCTGCTCGGAAAAAGCTGACTCGGTGTCACACCTGCCTGTCCCCTCCGCCGCGATGGCATGGGGCCCACGCCCATTGGGGCTTGACTCCTGGCCCTGCAGGTCAGTTCACCCCGGTGCCTCAGGCTCCTCTTCTGTAAAATGGGACCGGCGGTCCAGTCAAGTCTGGGAGAGGGGGCACCTGGGTAAGGCGGAAACCGGACATGAAAAGCAATGTAGTGGCCACAGAGCCAAGAGGGGTGAGACCGTGTGTACGTAGCTCAAGGTGGGGCGCTGGGTGACACAGAACCAGCATCGTGGCGAGTCCTGGCTCTCCCGCCTTTCACTGCTGGCCCTACCTCGTCATTTTTGATGACTGCAATGAAATGTGACAAGTGCTTGTTGTTGTTGGATTGCCAATGAGTCGGTTCGACCCATAGCGGGCCCCAGGCACCACAGAGGGAAACCCTGCCCCGGGCCTGCACCAGCCTCCCGTTTGTTCCCATGTCTGCAGCCACTGTGTCAGCCCATCTCCTGGAGGCCCTTCCTCTCCCTCACTGCCCCTCTACTGCACCAAACACGATGTCCTTCCCCAGGACTGGTCTCTTTGGACATGTCCAAAGTACGTGAGACCACGTCTCACCATCCTTGCCTCTAAGGAAGGGGCACTCTGGCTGCACCTCTTCCAAGACGGGCTTGTCACTTCAGCAGTCCGTGGCCCTTCCGCCCTTCCGCAGATGAGGCTGGGAAACACCGTGGTGTGGAGCAGGCGGTCCGGTCCTCGCCGTAACATCCTTGCTTCTCAGTACTCTGAAGGGTAGCGAGCCTAGGGCCTAGGCAGTGCTCAGTGAGCAATAACTACGATCGCCAGGTAGAACCAGGCTTACTAAAGGACCACTGGTCACAACGAGGAGTTGGGGATACAGGCCTTGTGGGCTGGAAGCTGCCCCCAGAAAACCCGCTGAGGCTGAGAGCGTGGGCCAGTGGTTCAACTATCTGTCCTTCTGTCCCCTTCAGTCCAGGCACAGACACAGAGCCCTGCCCAGGCTGACAGTGGACTCAGCGGCATGTTCTGAGACTGAGCAGAAGCCCCAAGACCCGCAAGGAGGTGGAGGCAGAGGCGGTGACGGCAAAGGCCAGGATCTCCCAAGGACAAGGGCAGAGGCAAGGCAGCACGACCTGGAGGAATTCGCAGACCCTGAAGTCTACCCATCTCTCCCTCCCCCCCTCCTTTCTTGCTGCGGAAGCTTCTGCTCAGGGAGGCTGGGGCAGCTCTGGAGAGAGGGTGGCAGGGAACCCCAACGCTGGAGATGCTCCAAGCGAACTGTCTTCCTCAACTATGGCTTTTCTCCATGGGGGTGGGGGGCCCGAGGGTGTGACCCTAAAAGCAGAGATGTGGGCAGGGTGAGGGGAGGGCAGGCTTCCAGCCAGCTACTTTGGGCCCCTCAACCCCACCCTCCCTTCCTCTGCCTAAGGCGGGCTCTTCGGGGCCAGAGCAGAACCTGCAGGAGGAGCCCACGGGCAAGTTCCTGTCCACGCTCCTGAGCACCATGGAGCCCACCAAGGCCGAAGACCCCCAAGAGTAGGCCTGTGCATGTGGGACGTGTGTATGTGTGTGTGATGGGAGGGGGCTGAGTCCCCTGAAGAGTACGCCTGTCAGTATGTATGTGTGTGTATAGGAGGGCTGCTTCCCCTTGAAGAGTACGCCTGGGCAAGTATGTGTTTGGGGGGCACTGCTTCTTGTGTGTGTGTGTGGGGGGGCGGGCAGGGGGGCTGGTTCCCCTTGAAGAGTAAGCCTGTGTCGGGGGGTGGGGGGTGGGGGGAGTATGGTGAGGGGAGGATGGGATGCGGTTGCTTCCTCTACCATCATTCAGTCCTGGACCAGGACTCAGCCCTGGGCTGTGCCAAGGTGAGGCCCCAAGAAACTGGGCCTCAGGCTGGTCCCCACCTTTAGCTTCCGGCCCTCCGGTCCATACCCCCCACCCCCACCCCCAGGGACTTCAAGATCCAGGAGTGCTCATTCTTGGATAAGGAAGACTGGGACCCCCAGCGGACCTCCATGGAGATGAGCCTTTTGCGGACAGACTGCAGGAGGTGAGCTGGGCTGGAGGGGCGCCAGGAGGCCAGCAGCTCCCTCAGGGCCGGACTCCTCTTGCCCATCGACTACCCGCACTGCCCAGCCCCAGCTCCCACTTTAGCACATTAGCCTAGTGACCCTCCCCCCCTTCATTGTCCAAGCACTTTTGAGGGGTCATCCTCAGATGCCAGGCTCTGGAGCTGGCATCAGTACCCTCTCAGGGTTGTAGCCATCTGTGACCATGTCCTGGGTCCTGTGTTGGGGGGTGGGGGTGGTGTTGCTCCTGGGACTCCCACATCGGTACCTCCACAGCCCCTAGCTGGGGACACCAAATTCTGTCAGGGCACACTGGGTCTCCAGGCGAATCCCAGCTGGAGGAACCACCCATTTCCTCCTACTGAAGAAGGGAAAGGTGCCTTTGTTCTCTGCCTGGGAGCCTCGGTGGCCATCCCTTCCTGGCTGATGACCACATCAGGACAGAGACTGTTAGTCTGGGTTGACTAGAGAAACAGATCCAGGGAGACTCCTGTGTGTGTAAGAAAGAGCTTTATAGAAAAGATAATTGTGTGTTGAGAAAACCCCTGTCCTGTCCACATCAAATCCATAAGTCCAATATTAGCCCATATGCCCCCTACCAGTCTATAAGTTCATCTTCAGACTCACACAACACATGCAATGAGGCAGATACAGGAAGATCACAGGCCAGTGGGTGGAAAGTCTTGTGGACCCAGTGGCATTATAAGCATCTCAGGGCTGGCAGGGGGCTCCACCTGGCTCCTCCAGCTCCAGGGCTCTGGCTCCATCAGCATAGCTTCACGTGGCTTGTCAACAGGAATGTCTTACAGGGAGTGTGCGTCTGGCCTACAGCAAGCTATGTTTATCTCCGTTGCACCTCCAAATGAGGTCATCAAGCTATGATCTGATGGACAGGCTAGACTCCACGCCTTCTGCAAGTTGAAGGTTGATTACATAACTGCCACAGCCTGGGTTCTTAGACCCAGTGGCTGAGGAAGGTTATGCACGAGTTGTGTGTTGCGGCTCCTAGGTCCAGACCTAGGGGCTGAGGGGGCTCCCTTTCTACCCTAGTGTTTGGCAGTCCCTGAGCAAGACCCAACTGGACAACCTGGCCCTGGGGGAGAAGCTGCAGAAGCTGGTGAGCCCCCTGCTCTGGGGCCCTTCCTTTGTGGCCTCCCAGCCCAGCGGAACACTAGAGGGGCCTCAGGACTGCCCAGGGTCCCTCCCCACCTCTGACTGCTGCAATGCTTGGTGCCAGCCGGACTCACTCCACATGATCCTGAAGCTGGAAGAAGAGTCAGCCAAATGAGAGGAGACCCAAACGGGTCAGGAGGGGACCCAGGATGACCAGGAGGCAATGCTTTTGCAGGTGTCAGGGCAGCGCAGGGTGGGGCGGGGTGGGCAGTCACCAAGGATGGCTTTGCTCACCAGAGCCCCTGTTCCCAGGAGACAGAAGGGACACTGTGGGTCCTGCTGCCCAACCCCCACCGAGACCAGAGTTTGGGCCAGGCCGAGGGCACCTCTGGCAATCTGCCACCTCACCTGCTCTCCAGATCCCCCCAATAAATTCCACTGAGCCACTTCACCATGTGTCTGTGAGCCCTGGGGGTCAGTGGGGAAGTTGGCAAAGGCTCCCAGTGACTTCAGACCCTGACACCCCCACCCCTCCATCCTGCTCTGAGCCCCATGTGCTCGGCTTTGCCACCCCTATCAGACCCCCCCACCCCCAACCAGATGAGATTCCCAGACATTGTCTCCTAGGTGCTGATTAGGACTGAGAGGGAGGTACCCCTCTCCCCAGGGGATCAAAGCATCTGGTCCCACACCAAAGGGCAAGAAGTGTGGGGGCCCAGCGTCCTTGAGGGGTAAATTAAGGGAACATCAGACACGGCCTGCAAGCGCTCATCTCTTCCATGGAGACTGGAGCCAGAGTGAGCAACATGTTCTCTCGAGTCTCATATAATCTTCAGCGAGCTGGCTACATCACATCATACGCAACAGGCTGTCGGGGTCCCCAACACTTGAATGGGTCCTCAGGAGCAACTTTGTGATTGTGGAAAATATTAAAGACAGACAGCTGGGCACATGGGCTCCTCTTCCCGCATGGAGACGGAGAGAAGGTATTTTTCGAATGAGTGTACATAATGGGGCTTACATAAGGCATGCGTGCCACACAGCGGGTGGTGTCATCAATGGGTAGACAAGCACTGAAATACGCCACCATCCTGACCTAGTGCTAGTTGGCCTGGACACCCCAGCGCCCTCCCCAGGGGGTTGCTGTATTTACGGTGGGTCGGCTACAGAACCAGCTTGCTTTTATCTAGAGAGAACCTTTAGGCACAGTGTAGCCGGACACAGAAATGATTCATATGGTGGCTCCTTTATGGGGGGTTATTGGAGGGACTGTGTCCAGGCATGAGAACGTATAGTAAGACTTCTTTATATCTCGGAACCGAACCGTGAGCGTCTTCTCCCACCAGTCGGCTTTCCCGGCCCGTCCTGATGAGCTAGGAGACCTTAGCTGTGCTACACCCTCGTCCAGTCCCTCCGTGTACCACGGAGGCAAACATGGAGCAGGAGGGGGATGTGTAGACACGCCACGGGAAGGCACATACAGGTACACAGGTAACAGCAGCTTCACCTTGGTCCTCTTGGTGCTGGCTTGACCTTACGTGTCCCTGAGCTCCTCACCAGGGGAGCAATCTATGATCCTTATCAAAAGGGAGTGGGACCAACTAGGGTGGGGTCCTCTGATCCCTTTGGATGGCAGTCAACCTTCAGGCAGTTCACCCTCATGTGCAGTAGTAACCACGGGCTTGCAAGTAGCACCTTAAAACTGGCTTTACTGAGGGAACAGCTTTAGATAGGAGAATGTGACAGAGACGCATCTCCACCCCACAAGCGTCTCGGCCTCCCAGACTCCTTAAAATATGAGCGCAAAGAATCTGTATGCACTCCCGTCCTGGAGCCCGGTTTCCCACACAGGGCTCTGGGGCCGGTGTGGCCCGTCCTCAGGCTGGGGACTGCACTCTGATGGAGCCCTCCTCTTCCTCCTCAGCCATGACCACCTCCTCCAGGGTCCGCCCTCGCAGCTTGCTGTCCACCAACAGGTTGCAGGCCCCTGCACTTGGCTGCCCCTCCTCCCGATAGTGACCCCTAAGGAACACCACTCGCTCCTCCCCAGCCAGAGGCAGCCCATGTGCCTGGCACAGGTCCCGGGCCTCTTCGGATCCGTCCAAGGCCAGCAGGTGCACCAGGAAGTCCAGGGGCAAGGCCTGGCCCTTGGGGGTGCTGAGGGCACGGGCGAGGCGGGCCAGGGCTCCGCGGCGAGCATGGGCCACGTGCCCCTGCACAGCACAGCTAGGCAGATAGGTCAGGGTCCGGAGCAGGCGGAATAGACGGGCAGCGTTGCCCTCTCGAAAAGCAGCGTCCACGGCCAAGGCTGTGTGCAGGGGTGGGCAGGCACGCAGGGCGGCGGGCAGCTGCAGAATCTCGTACAGGGCCTCCAGGGAGCCTGGGGAGGTGGGAGGCAGCATGAGGGGGCCAGGGGCCTTCCTGGGCCAAGCCCATCTCCTTGTCCTCCCAGCCCTAGGTGTTCTCTAGCCTGATTCTGCTCACATCCTACCCTGACCAATTCAGCCAACAGCCCCTTGCCCACATAGATCTTCATGGGATAGCTGAGCTCCTCAGACAAACTCCGTCCACACAGTCCTGAAGCAGCCAGTAGTGTTTGCTGGCGGGGATGCTGAGGGTCATTGAAAAGCCTTGCTCTAGACTGTTGACGAAGGGGGGGGTGAGGTGGCTGATCCCCCACCTCCAGGTTTCTGATGGAGACCCTAGCCCACTGCCCTGACCACTTGGGAGGCCCCTTCACATTGGCTCTACCTCCCAGAGGTAGAGTAACTGGAATTTGGGATAAACAATCGGGTCAAGAGAACTTTGAAGCCAGCAGCGTTTTTTTATCACAATCAAAGCGCACCACCCACAATAAGGCTCTAAAAAAGCTTCTATCCCACGTATGTTCCAGGGCATCTACGTCTGCTCACGGCCGCTATGCAATGACGACCGGGGAGGAGCTATTGGGGGGGGAGGAGGGGGGCGTTGTTTAAAAAACCTAGGCTACCTGCCCGGGACCATTCCATTTCCACACACACCCCCCTTTGCCG